TTTTCCAAATGAAAGAGCCGCTAGCATTCCATTTACTTTGTTAAAGTGGTTAAGTGACATTTAAGGCTCACTTGTAAAATAATAGCTTACCAAATAAACATATAGTGACACTTGAATCCTTTTTTCAGAAATCCTTAGCTAATCTGAGATCTCACCATCTTTTCCATGAGTGCAAAGGTTGTAGAATGCCCCTTCATCTGATGTGTAGCCACTGATCCTCTAGTTGGCCTGTCTCTGGCATTGTGGCCAGGCCTCTGCCTCAGGTGTGCCTGCCTTGCCCTGGCCCTCGGCACCGCTGCTCTCTGTCTTCCTCAGCAGCCGTTTTTGTAACCGTTTAACAGAAAGTCTTTTCAATCAGCTGGACAGAGACCTGGGTTCACTTCCTGCTCTCAGTTCCCACCTCCGCAAGCACATTAGAACCCGGAAAGGACACCAGGACAATAAATGGCTGCAAGAAGTTGCTGACTCCAGGGAAACCTGTGAACCCCTTTCTGAAATCAGAATAATGTTTTCCTGTCGCTTTGCCTTCCTAAGACTCCCTCCCATCCTGATAAGTGCCTTAGCATCTTTGACGAACTGAAACATGAATTCCCTTTTCTTTAGCAACTAAAACTCTATAACTATCTTCTATTATGTGAGTTGGAAGTTAGAAAACTTTTATCCACAGCTGAAGCTATTTCCTAATAAACAAGTCAGTATATCTTTCAGAATATTATATCTTTAAAAAAAAAGACATTTAAACAGAAAATACATCTTAAAACATAAAACTCTCCCACTGGGTTAATTTACGTTCTAAATGAGACAAGGGGATCATTTCAGTCTCAGGAGAATCTTTTTTCTGTCTGTTCACAGGGATAAAAATGGCTGGGCCTTTCCTCTCCATTCAGCCTGGGTTTGATTCTTGACTCTTCTGTTACAATTAATTCTGGCTCTGAAGCCCCAATTCCCCTAAGTGACCATTAAGACCCGTTGACCGAACGACTCGTTGACCAGTTGCTATGATGCACACTGACCATCAGGGGAGCAGATGCTCATGCAGGAGCTTCTCCCTGGTGATCAGTACCCTCTCACAACCAACCTCCCGCAGCCTACCAACCTCCCAAGGTCCATCTCCCCAGTCGGCCAGCCCCAATCGGCCCTGATCAGGACTGGGTGGGACAGCCCCAATCAGCCAAGAATGCTAGCCAGGCTGAGAGACCCCACCCATGCATGAATTCATGCACCAGGTCGCTAGTAATGCTATGATTATCTGTGAGCAAGGAGGCCAGTTACAGTTAACCATGGTAAAAATGATTAAAGCAACTTGATTATAAGATTTCTGTGCACTCTGCTCTTTCTAGCCCATAATTTGAGAAGAGAGCAAATAATAAGGAATAGAAAAGGATACTAGCCAAAATCAGTTTGGCTCAGTGGATAGAGCATCGATCTGTGGACTGAAAGGTCCCGGGTTCAATTCCAGTCAAGGGCATGTACATTGGTTGTGGGCATGTCCCCAATAGAGGGTGTGCAGGAGGCGGCTGGTCAATGTTTCTCTCTCATCGATGTTTCTAGCTCTCTATCCCTCTCCCTTCCTCTCTGTAAAAAATCAATAAAATATATATTTTTAAAAAAAGAAAGAGAAAAGGATACTATTGGGCAGCCAACAGAAGGTTATGATAGTTGTGCAGTGTGGGAAAGAACTAGCCTTAAAATTAAATGACTTTTAATCTTGACTTTACTCTCATTAGCTGTGTTACCCTGGACAAGTCATCTCATTTCTCTGAGCTTTTATTTCCTCTTTTGTAGAAAGAAAACAATATCGGACTTTTTATATCTCAGAACTATTGTGCACATCAGATTAAATAAGGAAGTGTCTTTGGTAAACCAGAGAGTGTGAAGTGGCTACCGGAAGATGAGCCCAACACCTAGGTTTATCAAATGTATCTTCAGATGCATCTAAGATGAAGTGGACAACATGCAATGTTAATGCAAAGTAGGGGATGAGATATTTTTCTGGGAGAAATGATTTCATAAGTTTCTTTAACGTAAAAGTTATGCCTGGTTCGAAAATTTCATTCATATATGCAACTAGAGAAGGGCACAAGTTAAGAAGTTTTATTGGAAACAATGAAAGAACTAATAGAAAGAAAGGAAGTGGAGGGGAGTTTGCAGGTTGGAGCAGGAGTTCCACTTAAAATTATGAACTGAAGCATGAATTCCCTTTTCTTTAGCAACTAAAACTTTATAGCTAGCCTCTGCTACGGAAGTTGGAAGTTAGAAAACTTCTCTCCACGCCTGAAGTGGTTTCTTTAAACCTGATCATTCGTGGTGGCATTTGGGGAGGAAGAACTGGCATGTGCGGCAGTGGAACGCATCCAGGCACTAGTGGCCAGAGCCTGGGCTTCCTCCGGCTCAGCTGGCACTGCTTTTTGGAAGGAGGAATCTCACCATCTTTTCCATGAGCTCAAAGGGTCAGAACTCTACGTGGATCTCTTTCCTTTAAAAACGTCTATGATGACAAGGGGCCCATGTGCATGGGATCTGCTAGAGTAGGAATTCCTTTGAAATTCTTGTTTCTCATTTCCCACCATGGCCCAGAGGTAGACACCAGCCACATCTGAGTAAGAAACCCTTCAGCCTTGCCATGTTCTCCGGCCCCCTGAGAGTCATGTTCTGTTTGGAAAGAGCTGAAAAAAAGGAAGGCTGTTTTTTCACTTGGAGTAAGAATATTCTTCTCGGAGCAGCAAAGGTTCTGTGAGAGTAACAGGATCCAGATGTGGGAGCTGGCTGCAGGGCTCAGCACGTAGGTTGTGAACTCTGAGAGCAGAAACAGCCTCCAGTGCCCGAGCGAGTACCCTGGGGCCAGCACCAAGGAGGCGGAGGGCCTGGGCATAGCATCTGGGCTTCATGGGCCTCTTGTACCTTAGAATTTGAGCTGCAGAAGGGGATAAAAAAGGTCCTGCTTGCCCTTAAGGTGAATGGCACTGTGCTATTGCCCAAAGCACTGTGAGCCCTGTCCGTTCTGGGCTTGCTCTGGTCTGGTAGCAGGTGGTGAGTCGGAGCGCCAGGTTGCTCCCCTGGTTGGCCAGGTTGCTTGTTAACTTGAATGGAAACAGTTCAGCCTCTACCTGCAGAGGCAGCATTGCACGTAGAAAGAACACTGAGCTGAAAACCGGGTGGCCTGGACTCTGGGGTCACCCTGGCCCTACCTGGAAGTGACCTTCAGGAAGTCACTCTACCTTACTTTTCTCATCCAGAAAATGAGGAGGCGGGACACAGTGACAGTTGAAACTCTTTCCGGCTCCCTCAGTGTAGAGTTGAGTGACACTGAATCCACGGGGACAAGAGTGATGGGAGAAGCAGCCCAGCCAGTCACACTGGTGCCGTGGCTGCAGTGTCCCTCGTGTAGAGTTGAGTAACACTGAATCCACGGGGACAAGAGTGATGGGAGAAGCAGCCCAGCCAGTCACACTGGTGCCGTGGCTGCAGTGTCCCTCGTCTGACCCTGTGTTCCACTGCAGTTCTATGTGCTGTGGGTGACAAGCAGGAAAGGGAGGTGAAGACTGCACAGCTGTCAGGAAGAATTCAGTCCTGAGCCCCCATGAATAATCGGCAGCTAACCACCTGAGGGAGAGACCAGCTGCCCCTCCACCACTGTGATACTTCTTCCAAACCAGTGTTGACAGTCTTTGAGTCCCTGCCTCTTATCCTCACAGTGGAGTGTTCAGCATCCTCTCCCAGCTGGACCCTGTGCCTGACTCTGCCCCTTATCCTGGCTCCTTCTCTTTTCAGTCTCTGTTTCCTCCAAGCCATCCTCCTCTGCTTCCCCTGCTGGGTTTTGCCATGGTCTGCTTTGTCTGTTGGTAGGAGGTTAGGAAAGCCTTACCCGTAATAGCTGAGATGCTCCCCTTCACAGCCCCCACTTAGGCCCTTTGATCCCTCCATTCAGCTGAGCATGACTATGGTCCCTTCTTCAAATGGGAGCAGACTGAGACCTGCGGCAGCTCTGCCTGCAAGTGCTTCACCATGGCAACCAGCATTCCCACTGCCACTGTGCAGGGAAAATGGCTGTTCTGAGGAGGGACTCACGGAGTCTGCATTTACCCTGCCTGTTTCGTCCAAGCTCCTTTGTGAAGCTACATGCGTTGAACCAAATGTCTGTTGGCCGTCAGATTTACTAAGAGGAAAGGAGGCAGGAGGAAGTGGAACCAAATGAACAAAAACATTTCCTTTCTGCCCTAAAACTGTATTTTCATGGATACAGTTATCTGTCCTAAACAGATAAACAAGGAGCTGAATGAGTATAGGAATCCAAGACCCAGTACAATGTGTTTTGTCTTATCCGTGGAGTGCAATGACGGAGCACGTGTCTATGCAAATAAAAACTCAGGTCAAGCTGCCAGGGTACCCAGGGAACTTCCCAGGGCACGGGCGCCAGCATTTCAGAAGGGGGTCTGACTCATCAGGGTGAGGATGTGTGATACTGGCTCCTGTTATGGAAAGAGATGCATTGGTCCTCCAGTTATGAGAATGGTGAGAATTGGCATCTCCTACTTTCAAATCCATTTGGGCTACCCCATGGGGTCCTTCTCCATAGTCACTAAGCATGGCAGTGCGACAGGCTGGCAGGAGACCCCTGTGTGGAGTTCTGGAGCAGCAGGCTGCCCTCTCACACAGCCCCGGGTTCCAAAAGTAGCTGTCGAGCTGCTGTGTCCGTGACTCTCAGAAGTGCTGTTGGTTGGAGTAGAACCATAGCCTGTGTAGAACCTCTCAGTGCAGAGGTCATCCCAGACCTCCCTGGGCGCGTGGCACGAGGAGGCAGAGGCGGCAGTGCCATAGCGAGTGGTCGGACTATGTCCACTCCTGAATCCACAGGAGGACCCATGGAGTCTATGATGGTGGCCGGTTCTTAAAGCCCAAACAACCATCTCCCTCTGCTCTAAACGCGTTTTGAATGAAAGCTCTTTTTTTCATTCTTAGGAATGTGAATGTGTGTTTAAATCGGACTTCGTCTCTCTCAGTTTCTCTGCAGGTGGACATTGTTCCCAGCCAGGGCGAAATCAGCGTTGGAGAGTCCAAGTTCTTCTTATGCCAAGGCAAGTGTCCAGGGCCCGCTGCATGCAGTGCATCCTTCCTGCAGACCAACAGCCATGGGTTGTGTGCTGACTGCTCACACCGCACCCAGAATTCTTGGTTTAGCTTTGCTGCAGGGTCAATAGTGTGACTTGGGAGGCAAGGAGGCTCTTGGGCCCTCTCTCGCCCCTCTCCAAGGGCAGCCCCAGCACAGGGAATTGTACCTGGACTTGCACTTGGTGGTGGAGCACTGAGGATGTTCCTGGGAGAGTCAGCACAACTCCCAGAAGAGTGAGTCAGCTCCAAACCCCCACTCTGAACGCATCCGGAGCTCGTAACTGACAGCAGAGAAAGAAATGATGCCTCAGTGAGTCAGTATGAGGCTTATTCTCAGAATCCCCAGAACAGGAAAATCCAAGCGCCAAACTTGTCTGAATGGAAACTGAGCACTGGTGTCTCTTCTGCAATGTGGACGCATGTCCTGGGTTTCCAGGTCCATTGTGAATTCAATATTCTGTCCCATTGCCCCCACCAGAGCTCTAGGATTGTCAGAGCTGGGGTCCTTGTTTTCTCTTTAGAAATTATGCCTCGTTTCCACAGCTCAGATAATTTTCAGGAGCTGGCCTGTGGAGGATCAGGCTTCACATTAAGCTTTGAATTCTCTGTAGTGACACGCCTGGGATTTGGAAAGTGGGGGAACCAGGAAAGAGTTGAGATAGGTGTTAACTGTGACATTTAATGAGCCACTTGCAGCAAGAGGGGCCTTGGAATGCTTTCCTGATTTGCAATAGGTGAGGTGGCTGCAGCCGCCGGATGCTTTCACTCCAGCTTCGCCTTCATTTGGCAATTTATATGATCTAGGTATGCAGCCTGGAGCCCACAGCACATCTTGCAAACGATGTTTATTGAAAACATAATGGGCCCTGAGAAGAAGACTGCTTCATTTCCATACCAAGCATCTGTGCGGGGATGGTGATGTGGGCTAGGGAAGCATGTGCTAAGGGCTGGTTGAAGCCACATGGCCGGGTCCAGTGCCCTGGTCCAGCTCAGTGTCTAGGGCAGCTGAGCAGCAATGTATGTCCCTCCATGGTGCCTGGGGAAAGGACATTCAGCTGATTGTAGCTGGCTTCTTCTCAGCATTAAAGGAGATGAATTTCTGTTTGTGGCAGAGCTGCTGGAATGCCAGTCATGCCAGTTTATGCAGGCAGATGTTAGGATAAAAGTAGATAAAGTCCACACTCCTAGGTTAACCAGTGTCTCATCTTCCACTCGAGAGACCACAAGCTGAGCCTTTGAACACAAACTGATCACTTCACTCAAACCAGCTAGTTCCTCAATCTCAGCTCCTACATATGCTGACTTCTTTTGCCCCCAACTCTCATTCTTGAGGCTGTAAGCTCCTAGCTGAGTGCTCGGCACACAGTAGGTCCTCAGCAAATATATCCTCTCTTCCCTCACTAAGGATAGGACTGCTATGAGATACCGGTGCAAGTACTTGTTGAGTCCCTTCCAAATACCTTAAGTGGTGTTATGTAATCACAGTTCTACACAGAAGCCAGAGTGACACTCTATAGAAATGGTCAAGCTCCCCAGTCATCACCCCCAATGGTTTCATACGGTAGCTCTGAGTATCACTGACCCGGGAGGGGACTTTGTCTTTTTAACTTCCGTAGTTCGAAAATAATCTCTTCCTCTTCAGTGGCAGGGGAGGCCAAAGATAAAGACATCTCCTGGTTCTCCCCCAATGGAGAAAAGCTCACCCCAAACCAGCAGCGGATCTCAGTGGTATGGAATGATGACTCTTCTTCCACCCTCACCATCTACAACGCCGACATTGATGATGCCGGCATTTACAAGTGTGTGGTCACTGGCGAGGACGGCAGTGAATCAGAGGCCACAGTCAACGTGAAGATCTTCCGTAAGAGCCCCCTCCTTCTTCTATATATGCACTCGTCTTTGGCCAGGAAGATACATGGGCAGCAGGCAGGGTGGGATGGCAATAGAGGACCCGCTGAGGGCTTGACAGGGCTTCTTTCCATCTTGCCTCAACCTAAGTATTTTCTAAACTGTACTAAAAGCTCCAATATGCTCTTAAATGATCCTGGGCCAACTCAGAACTCACAACTAGGGTTCATGCTGGTCACAGCAACCTCCCACTGGCATCCAACTCTAAATTCAAACTACACAGTTCCCAGAAAAATATTATGGGTGCTCCATCCCTTCCCCAAGTATTGACTAACCGTTTTACAATTCAGGGTCCCTTCTTATTTCACTCTCCTGTGCTGGTAATGGAGTCAAAAAGCTCAGTGGAGAGTTAGGGGGATATTATTTCTTTGAACACACTGTTCCACTCAGAACAGGCAGCTCCAATTGCTACTTGGTCTGATGGTGGCATCTCATCACCTTGTAATCATGCCTCTGTTCCATTGGCCAGCGTAATGGTAGGTGACCACTAATGGAACAGTATGGATTGTCATGGTATTTATTGCCATCATTGCTTTTCTTCTGTTCTATTCTTTAAAATTCTATCTGCTGCAGGAAAGTTGAGGTTGGGCTACCACACAGAGTGGGAGACAGAGAAGGGATTGATAACTCCTGCTGTTCATTGTAGAATAGGTATTCTACCAGTTCATTTTACTTATACACTGTGTTTCAATGGCACTATTTCACATCAAAGGGACCCTGGTAAAACCTTCCTATCCCTCCACAGATGTTTCATGCACAAAGTGTGATAAATGTAGCACTCAGTGATAGACACTGATTGCCAAACTTCCACAGCATATTCCCCTACTTGTGCAAGCTGTTCCACCTGGCATCTTTGACTAAGTACTGGGTAGAAACCTCTCTATTCCATTGTATATATGTCTTGAGAGTTGCCTGCAAGTGGAAAAGATCTTCGTAGGTAAACCAGCTGTTTTCCATCACTCTTTTCTTGCTCATTTTCCAGAGAAGCTCATGTTCAAGAATGCACCAACTCCCCAGGAGTTCAGAGAGGGGGAAGATGCAGTGATTGTGTGTGATGTGGTCAGCTCTCTACCCCCAACCATCATCTGGAAACACAAAGGCCGAGATGTCATCCTGAAAAAAGATGGTGAGACCTGATTCCCTGGCAGCTGCCTTCCCCTGGGCCACCAAGTTCCCTAGAGTTCCATTTCTGCTGGCCTCTGAGACATTTTGACCCAGACTCCAGTGTCCCTCCCAGAACAACATGCAGTTTACATCCTAGATGGGTATATGTCTGTAGCTTGTATGTTCAGGGACTTTCTCCAAAGAAAGAAACAAATTGACAATAGGCATTTGCTCTTGGCTCTATGTCAAAGCCAGAGACACATTTTCTTATTTCAGCTTAAAGCAACACCCCATAAGACTGAAGCTAGAAAAAGGGAAAGGCTCAGCGACCTTCCTACAGATACAAGTTCTCTAACTGATCTTTGGATGGACCTGCCTCTTATCTCTTCTAGTCCGATTCATAGTCCTGTCCAACAACTACCTGCAGATTCGGAACATCAAGAAAACAGATGAGGGTACTTACCGATGTGAGGGCAGGATCCTGGCACGGGGGGAGATCAACTTCAAGGACATTCAGGTCATTGTGAATGGTGAGGAGATCTCCTCTTCCTGCTATCTCCATTGCTACAACCTTGGTCCCCAATATCATTCTCTTTAACCTCCTCTTTGATGTATAAAGTGTAGACCCATTCAGTCTCGGCTGAATCTTCCTACTTCCTATTGCCTCATGCTTAGTTCTATATATATATAGAACTTAGTATATATATATATATATATATATACTTGTCTTCTGCGTTTCCCTTAACTGTGGGGACTATTAATGCAGTTTTTGAATGCCCTTCATTGTCTTGAACCACTTTCCCTGTGCTTACTAATACATTCTTATTCAGCCTCCACTGTCCTTATGCTACCATAATTGTGAAATTAGTCCCCTGGTTCAGTGTGCAAAGAAAATACTATAATCAATTCAGGCCTCAGAATAGTCAGAATCATGGCCCATGGGCTTATTAATCTCAATTTGCAGTGTCAAATAAACACACCAGTGGAATCGATCTGACATTTACAAGATGTTTACAGGAAACTATAATGTCAGTATTAAGAAAATAAGTATATCATGGTCAGATTGTTTGGACTATTGATATATACTTTTGCCAACACCCCTCCCCCACTTCATTCCTTTGGTAAAACAGTTTGTGCACAGGGCTGCTTATGACATTTCCAGAGAAATGTCACCCTGGTGCACTGGTGCATTTCAAATTGGCATTAACCATTTAATCTCTGGGATCAGGAGTTTCAACGTTTTCCAGTATGAAGAGTCCCATTTTGAATATCAAGTTCCCTAGCCATGGTAGTTGTAAGTTGAATATACACTGATTGAAAAATATATATAATAATAAATAGCTACTACGAATTGAACACCATTTTTTAATGAATGAAATGCATTAATATAGCTTTGGAAGCCATATTACTAAAATACAACATTATACAGGAGTGAGCAAAAGTAGATCAATAATAATAAATATAGTAAGTAATAAATAAATAACACATTTATAATCCTACTTTTCCCCACACCTGTATATTGTTATAAAACACTAGTGCATTTGGGGGTAAATTATTTCTTCAGTTTATAGTAATTATTTAGTATGTGCCTGAATTTAGATCCCTTACACTAACTCTGCAGCTGCCCAGGACCCTTGATCCCCAGGTGTGACCCTTGACTTAGGGTTCCCTAGAAGTGCCTCTTCTCCAGGCCACTGGATTCTTCCAAGTTTTCACAACCACCCCTGACAGCCTTTCTTTCCTTCAGTACCGCCCACCGTCCAGGCCAGGCAAAGCATCGTGAATGCCACCGCCAACCTCGGCCAGTCTGTCACCCTGGTGTGTGATGCTGAAGGCTTCCCGGAGCCCACCATGAGCTGGACAAAGTAAGACCCTGGCTCCTGCATTGGATCAGGGACTAGTGGAGAAGGAGCCAGCACAGGGACTGCTCCGGTTGGCATTGCCATGGAGCAGGGACAGCCTGCCTGGGGATGTCCTTGACTCCAAGTACAGGCTGCACTCTCCTGCACGGTTCTCCTGCCTTGTGCATCGGATTCCTCCTGCATCCTCAGTCCGTGGGTAGAGAGGCCTTCTTTGGTGTGTCTGGGAGTGCAGTTTATAGCCCAGGGACAGAATCAGAAGTTTGGGTGGAGAAATCTAAGGAATATTTGGAAATACAATTTGATGTCTTAACTTTTTGTGAAGACTGAGCCTTTCTCGTGGGCTCAGACTGCATTTTATGAAAACAAATTGAAAACAAACATCTTCCCTCTGTGGTCAAAATCATGGTACTTTGCCTTTGTGCACCCTGTAGGGATGGGGATCTGATAGAGAATGAGGAAGACGAGAAGTATGTCTTTAGTGACGACAGTTCGGAACTGACCATCAGGAGGGTGGATAAGAACGATGAGGCTGAGTATGTCTGCATCGCCGAGAACAAAGCTGGAGAGCAGGACGCGTCCATCCACCTCAAAGTTTTTGGTAAGGACAGTGGGGGTCAAGGTCACTAAATTCCCCTTACCCTGAACACTCAATCCATCCGCAGGGCCTGTCCACTCTGCCTCAGAATCTATCCCAAATGCAGCTTCTTCGTGCCAGCTCTGTCACCTATGCCCTGGTTCAAGCCACCCTCCTGCTCCCCTGGTCTCCCTGCCTACTTCTCATGGGTTCCCTTCATCCCCTTCTGCTCACTCCTTAAGTGTGAGAATGACCCTAATGTCACTCCTCTGTTTAAAACCCTCCCGTTACTTCCTATTGCAATCAGAATAAAATCTATCTACCTTGGGCGCAAGACTAAACCTGAGCTAACCCATCTTCCTTCCTCATCTCATCCTTCCTCCACTTTGTTCCACATTCAACAGCCTCAGGCCTCCTTTCTGTCCCTCGGGGCACAGCACACTTATTCCCTGCCTCAGGGACGTTGCATGTGATGTTCCTTCTGCTCGGAATATCATTCCGCCAGATCTGCTCTTAGCTGCTTCTCCTCTTCCACCATTCAGATCTCAACTCAACCAGCTTCTCAATGAGTCCTCCCGTCACTGCCCTGCCTCAAGCAGCAACTGTATTACCACCAGCTCCCCTCCCTCCACTAACTCTTCCATTAACTTTACTGTGTTTTCTTCATGGTACTGATCAGTACCTGAGCTAGCCTCATTTACATATTTATTTTGGGAATTGCTTGTCTCTCACCTCCACTAAGTGTGTAGAATCTAAGATGGCAGAGCACACTCTTAGTGAAGATGAGAGACCTTTTCTCTAGCACACCCAACACAACCAGACTCGTCATAGGCCCTTCGTACATGTTAGTGACCAGTGCTTCCTTTTCCCTTTTCTTCTTTCCCTGGCCTGTGTGAAACAGTGTCATAAAAGTCATGAAAAGAGTCCTCACACCTCTACTCACTTCTTTATAAACTCAGTTAATTCCCATGCATTTAAAACTGAAATAAATTTGACCTGACCTTGGAAAAAGGATTTGTGGTGGGAAAATGTTCAACCTAATGGCTCTCTACTCTCTCTGCTCATCTTTTTAAAAACCACAGCTAAGCCCAGCCAGTGTAGCTCAGTGGTTGAGTGTCAACCTATGAACCAGGAGGCCACAGTTCGATTCCTCTGCAGGGCACGTGACTTAGGTTGCAGGCTCGATCCCCAATAGGGGGCCTGTAGGAGTCAGCCGATCAATGATTCTTTGTCATCATTGATGTGTCTAGCTCTCCCTTTCCCTTTCTCTCTCTGAAATCAATAAAAGTATATTTTTTTAAAAACACACACATACAGCTTTCCACACATAAGCTAGTCCATAATAGATAGTGCTACTAGTGCAGGTGTCAGAAGTTCATGCCTGGGAAGCTGCATGAGACCTGCTTGTTTAGCCTGATCAGGAGAACTGATCCATGTTTGTAAACACAGAGCTTTGAAAATCAAGCATCTATAGGCAATTGGACTTGCTAATAACAGATGAATCTTATTTATTCATTAATAACAATTGGGTTTATCAACAGTGTATCAGTTTGATTCAGATTAATTCAGTACGTAACTGAGTATATGCCTCCTCCTCAACAGCACTTAACACTTACTGCATCCAAGATGAACTGTGGCCTTTCTCAAAGTCCTATTTATCAGGGTAGACACAAAACCTTCCTAGAGGAAGACCTTATTAATGGGCTTCATGGGTTCAAATACATGATCATTGGGCCACACTGGACTGAGATGAGCCAATGTGCTGGCTGGCAATAAAGGATTTGCAGAGCTGGCTGTTAGTACAGATTAACTTTAGGAGAATATTTGAACTATGTGGTAGTTTTATTATATAGAAGCAGATATTTTCTACAGAAAAATGCAAAGCTCTATCATTATTTTCTGTTTATTAAAGCAGAATGAAGGGCCTCAATTTGGAGGCTGTATGTAGACAGTAGTTTGTTAGCCTACATGAGGTTACTGGGTGAACCTGAATATAAAGGAAATGCAGTTCTTTCAAAAATTAGCCATAATTTTAATTTACTTATTTTTCGTTTGTTTATCTAGTCTGGCCTTTTCTCTATTAGTGAAATGAGTTACACTTGTGCTGTGTTATCTTTTCTATGGAAGGTTTAGCAATTTCAGAGTATAATTGTTTTAAATTGGGAAAATTCAATTTTCTCTAATGTGTTAACATTTAACTCAGCTTTGAATGCTTGTGCTTTCTTGCGTTACCCAAAACATTTGGAAAATGAACTCGTCTCAACTCATCTCCTTCCCACCCCCAGCCCACTCCACAACCCAAGTTACCCACCACGTTTCCGTACTTGAGTTAATGCCACACAACTTTCCTAGGCATTACGAATCTCAGCAGCATCTGGCTCCTCCTCATTCCTTCTTGTGTTTCTTGCCATCCCTCCTACCCTTGCTCACTTGCCACTTCCCATAAAGCCTTTCTTTAGCATCTCTCTCGAAGACGACCTTTTGGTCCCCCTGACATGGCCCAATCAGAACTGTCACATCACAGCTGGGGCACTGCTAGAGCTCCCAAGTTGTTTTCCCACCTCAAGTTTTTCTCCTTGCTAAATCATCTTGAATTATTTCTAGATTAACCTTCTTGTCATGCAAATTACCATTTCATCTCTCTGATCAAATACTGCCAATGGCCTCCACCTGCCTCCATACAGAATTCAAGCAAGAACCTTAACAGGTGGTCAAGACTCTATGCCAAGGCATTGCCTGCTCTGCTTTAATACACAAACATGTGACTCTCTTCCCAACCCTCTCCTCATGTATTCTTGCTTCTTTGCTTTCCTTCAACCAGTTTTACCCATGGAATGACTCAGTCTTCACCCCAAAGTTTCCCCTACTGAAAATCTTATGGCCCAGCCCAAAAGCTGTGTCCACACCAAGATGCCAGTCAGAGGAGTGCTCTTTCTCTGCTTCATGCCTCTTGCATCCATTGCCCTCACTTAGCTCTCTTACTACACAGGGTGCTGTTTTTATTATCACTGTGGTATTGCTGTGTGCATGCCTTGTGGTAAGCCCCTGAGGCTTCAACACGTGGAGTACAGCCTATACTTAGGAAGTAGATAACCTTGTTCATGCTGCCACTTAAACGTGGGGCACTAAGAAGGTTAGATAAACATTACAGGAATGTTTTGTCTTTTCAGCAAAACCCAAAATCACTTATGTAGAGAACCAGACCGCCATGGAACTAGAGGAGCAGGTCACTCTTACCTGTGAAGCCTCAGGAGACCCCATTCCCTCTATCACCTGGAGAACTTCCACCCGAAACATCAGCAGCGAAGAAAAGGTATAATGTCGCCACCCAAGAGTCTCAGGGCATGGCACGCAGACTCGAGGCGGATTGAGTCTGCCCAATGCCCAGTTCTCCTCGGTGAGCCAGACAGGGGATTTGGTCACTGGAGTGCAGGTTCTGTGACCTCCTCCTCCCCCCACCAGAATGCATCCTGCTCCACGTCCTCTGACAATGGGAGGGGTGCAGTTCATTGCATAGATTGGCAGGGGTGTGATTTAGTGGGTATTGGTCAAGGTAGCTCTCTGGGGAGGAAGAAGGTAGTGATTTTTAAATGCAGGATTTGGGGCTGTGGGGAACAAGACAAAGTGACGTCCTGGTGCTCCAGGTGATGTCCTCCTCAACTCAGGAGCCAAGGAAATGTCTCCTGGAAGTTATAGGGTCAGATCGAGCCTGTCAATTCTTCTCGTATTTTGTATACTCATGCTATACAAGCACTCTGTGCACAAAAGCTTGGTTGCCTTTGTGTCTGCCTGTATTCTCGATCACATTTGTATATCATGTTGGTCTAAAGGCAAAAATAATTAGCAGTTTCCACATGATGATGATTGCCCTAGGCTCTACAGTGTATTTGCTGGGAGTGTAAGAACAACGTAGCAAACTCCCTGACAAATTCAAATGACCGGGGAGGTTTCACTTGAAAACATGTGGATTTCCAAGCCTCCAAAAAGCTATCTTTATTATGAACAATATGTAATAATTGAGGGGACCCTTGCCAAAACTGGTTTGGCTCAGTGGATAGAGTGTCGGCCTGTGGACTGAAAGGTCCCAGGTTCAATTCCAGTCAAGGGCATGTACATTGGTTATGGGCACATCCCCAGTAAGGGGTGTGCAAGAGGCAGCTGGTCGATGTTTCTCTCTCATCGATGTTTCTAGCTCTCTATCCCTCTCCCTTTCTCTCTGTAAAAAATCTTTTGCTACCGAGTGGGCCAAATGCAGGAGAGGAAAGAAGCTCGGTTTTAAAGCGACTTAAACCATCTTCGGGCACCTCTCCAGTCTCACCTCATATATCCTGTAGTAATGGGCTTTGTCAACTACTCAGAAGTAATGGTCTTAGATTCAAAGGACATTTGTAATGGATTACTTATTGACCAAAATGTCAGAAAGTATAGATCTTCACTCTTCTGCCTACCTAAAGGGAATCCTAAGAGAGGGTAAACTCAAGTAAACCCAAAAGAGACAGTGTGAGACACTAGAACCAAACTTGAATCTGCATTTGAGGAATTGACTTCTGTCCCACTAATCGAAAGTAAGGCTGAGTCAAAAAGAACAGAAATTCCATTCCAAAACCCATTACTTTTTGCAAGTTTTACCTCCAGAGTTGAGTTTGGTTTAACTCAACAAAGGAACTGCTAAGTATTTTTGAAACTTGCATATGTTGTTTGATATTGTACTGCAGTAAGAAATGTGGTGTTTACTTGATGCTTTCTTTATCAACATTGGGGTTAAACCTTTAGCTCAGATTTCTGCTGCCATCATGTGTGTTTTGTGGATTGAACTTGCATTCCAGGGCTTAAACCACAGGACTGCTGCCTGACAGGTTTTCCCATAATAGATTTGTCCAGAATGGCCCAGTGTGTATCTTTGACCTCAGTGAAGGACAGAGATAACATCTATCCAGATGAACGATGCTTTTAAATTCTACATCTTTTCTAGGAATAGCTCCATAGCTAAGCTAGACCAGAAGAGTTATTAAGATTTCTGCCTACCTCAGCTCCTTTAGTAGCTTGGTTCTCTAGCTTGTATCCAAGAATTCATTTTCACAGAATAAGAACAAATAACAGGTACTAATATACACTCACACTCACTAAATGCTGAGGCCAAAGATGTTCAGCACAGACTTTCTCAAGTCCAGGAGACTTGGTATACTCATAGATGGTGCTGTTTTGCTATAGCAACAATGGTTTACTTGATGTGACAGTACTGGAACATGAATAAATCAATGTGAGAACAAGTCCTCCACACTGGCCAGTGTTGTGACACCAGAGGAACACACCTACCTAATGAAGCCCTTACAGGAAAGTTGCCATTTATATTAATTCTCTACTTATATCAAAGAGGCACGATGTCCAGCTTCATACCACGGACAGCTAATACTTAAGAAAAAAAGGTGGCCTCTTCCTGGGTGATTGGACTCTGGATAGTAAGCTTCACTTTTACTTTGGTAGATGCTCCTCATGTGCAACTCCATCTGAAGTTGCATGATATATAATTAGATACTGGTATGATTAGAGTCACTGAATTGTAGGAGTGGAAGGAAACAATTTTCTTTTTAAAATCGGGATGCTATGCTAAGCAGATAAGAATAGACAATCATATTGAACTGCCAAGGTGAGGAAGGCTCCTGAGAATTAGATCACATAAAATGCCTGAATCATGAAGACTGGAAGGAAGCCACTCTTTGAGTTCATTTAGCCTTACCTGGCACCCCTTTCTAACATATCTGCCAGACAGTCACTCAGCCCTGCCTGAAAGGTGACATTGTCAGCCCTCCACAGGGCAGTCAGCCAACACTGATGGCCAGGAGGTCTGCTTTTCAGCCTTTCCACCTCTGGCAGCCACTCTTTGTATGAGAGCTCTTAAAGCAGCTACTTAGTTTTCTTCAGTCTGTTCTTTACCTCACTAGTTGCCCCATAATAAATGGTATCAGCTCACTGGTGCTCCATTAAAATTTTGTGGTGCCCAGAGTCAATGATGAAGACTTCCATGAGTTATTACTCCCTTGATCTGGATGCTGTAATGCAGTTAGAGTTGCATTAGCCCCTTTAGCAGTTTCCTCATCCTGTTGCCTTGTATTGAGCTTGTGGTCAACTAAAATGTTCAGCTTTCTTTTACATGAACTGCATTTAAGCCACATGCCTCCTATCCTGTTCTTATGCAATTAATTGCTTACCCAATCATGCAGAATTTCATTTCTATTTCTTTTAAGAAATTATATTTTGCTGGTTACAACACAATCTTTCTCAATGGGGACATTATGAAAATTGGGAAGACTCTTCCTTTACTGGGAATATAAAGAATGGTATTGCAAGATGTGTACCACCAAATCTCCTCCCCCCTAAATACCAGTAGCCACTTCTAATCATGTGATTACCAAAATCCCACATGTATAAACACTCTCGGGCTGGAGAAAAACCTTTGAGTTTATCTTTCCAACCAGTCAAGAATGGCTTTCATCAGAACTATCCTTTAGATATCTGTTGGTCTAGGGAATTTCCACCCACATGCTCCCTATTTTATTTATATATTGAAAATAATGAGTTTTAGAAATCAGACCACAATCCAAGCAATGACAGGTAATGGAGTGGTCTTCCCCAGGCAACTGTCATCTAGCATTTGCATTGGCTATTGCTACAACCTTATATGAACACTTAAAATATCTTTGTCCACATTACTGATAAAAATGTTAAATGGGACGTAGTCCAGTATAGAGCCTGTAGAATGCCACTAGGGTTTCCCGCTGGGTCATTGGCTAGGAAGGTAGAGCACTGAAAACCACGGTACTCTCTTGTGACTTTAATGACTTCCCTGGAAGGCTTAATGATCTCTTTAATAAAGTTAGTCACAATATAAGGTAATTAAAGCATCTAGGTCTTTTGCTTCACTGAGAAGAGAAGAGAAAAGGCTTACAGCCATAAACACATAGTTAATGACTTTCTAATGGAATACTAGTTTTTCTTCATTAAAAAGTAAAATAAAAATAAAACAATACAGTGAACAAGCATGTCACATCCTATCTGTGATCTTGTCTCTGGGTTTAGTTCAGTCACTAATTGGAGATTATTATCAACCTACTAAGCGTCAGCTGGTTGAGTTAGTCTCACTCCATGACTGATAATAGCTGGGTTAAACTTGGGTCGTTAATACGATTAGGGTAGATCATTTGTCTTAAAGTTAGTTCATTCATTGGTGCTCACTATTATGTTGACCAAAATCAAAACATATTTGAACATGACAATGGGTCAATTAGATCAGTGTGTACTGAGATCATTGATAATGCAGATACAAAGCAAGTGTTAGTGTCCATATTGTGTCCACAGCATTTCACTACTCTTCCTAATTAGATTCATTTAACTATTGCCAGGTACTTGAGTGAGTGGTGCTAAATTCCAAGTACCATTTACATTCTGGATAAAACTTTGGGATGATAATTTTCATCATTTATCTGTGGCAGAACAAACTTGTAGTGCCCTAACTTGAATATGCCTTCGAAATGACAGGTGAAGAAAAGCATACGAAGCCTTAATATTTAAGGAAAAGGAGAGGGGTGAAGAGTTGAGATCAAAAGAGATAAACAGAAAAAAGGAAAAGCATTCATAAACCTTGAATCTTGAGCTTCCCAAGTAGCCCACAAATAGGAGATATTTTTTGAAATTCTCAATTCTCTGCAAACTTTTTATCACCAGGAAGAATTCCTCTTTCAATACAAACTTGGTGCTCACTTTTAAAATTGGGAAAGGTACCTGCATTGAGCAACCAGAGGCTGGCTTATCCACCCTGTGGACAAATTTCTAGCAGGGAATACTTTAGAATAGTGAAGGGAAGTTCCACCTTAGTTTATATACATATCCCTACATATTTGTAAGGTAATAAAACATGAATAGGGGGAGGGAGGAACATAGAGCTAACAATTTTTGGAATAGTATTAGTCATATTCTCATTTATTTTATTGTGTATTTGCATATCAGGTTGTCTGAAAGCAGGCCACATGTCTTCACAAGTTATTAGGGGGTCAAGCAACTAGAATAATTGTGTTACTAGCAACTGCTTATTCTAAATGCCACAAAACCATAAGAATTTGGGAAATACACAAGAAAATCAGATCTGAAAAACAAACAACTCCATAGACATAGCTCCTAAAAAACTATCTTGGTTCAAGCAGCCCTGGTGTGTAACAAACCAGCTTTTAAGTGATGTGGAATTGGCAACCACATTTGACATGTTGGCCGACTGCTTCTTTGGCCTATGCATGTTCCTCTGTCCTCACTTTCTTCTTCATGTGATGTAATCCAGCATTCTCATCCTCATATCTCACAGGAATTCTTTGCATTTAGTGGACCCCTACTAAATGTTTACCAACTCATTTGCATTCCCTGGGTTGCATTGCAATGTCTGGCATCTTCTCTATTCTGTTTCTATATGAACACCAGAGACAATCAGTCAGTCATGCCATCCAATAGAAAGAGTGATGCATGTATGATGTCTCTGACTCCCAATATGAAAACAGAAAAACTGTAAGCAGAGTAGATGCTCAAGTGCCAGATAAAAAAAAAATTAAATATAGATGTGGGTAGGAAAAGACCCAACCTGAGTTTCCCTAAGTTGGCTCACTCTTTGGAGTGCCAGGTTTGCTGAAGATGGATCCTGCGGGAGCCCACATGCATTCAGTGTAGTATCCTCCCGGCTTCCTGACCCATCATCTTAAGAACCTCATACCTCTCATTCCTAATGTGTCTTGGGCATTTTTGTTGTTCCTTTTTTAAAATAAAAATTTGATTTTTTTAATAGTATGCATGCAGAGTTATAAAATGCATGAGCACAAAATGGCATTAGTGTATTTGTGATGAGCTGTCCTATAAAATCCAAAGGAGGAAACTCACTCTATAAGTATCTATAAATTATATGGTTAGAATTCGTAGTGTCACCTGATACTACGAGGGACATTAAGACATTCTGGCTTAGGAGCAGCCTATAATACCTTTGCTGGTGTCCGTGTGTGTGTCTATTGGAGTTGAGGGAAGCCTATACCTTTGAATGATACAGCCTAATGTGCATAAGGTGGGCGTAAGGTGGGGGTGGGGGGAAGCTGAACTGAAGCCAAGTCCTTGATTAAGCTGGGTAATAAGCACACCATTGAGCGTGGGCCTTGGAAAAGTTCTGAATTGGAAAGAAGCTGCATGTGCACGGAGTACAGTGTGATTCATCGGTTTTCTAAAGCAATGTTGTAAACTTTTACTGCTTTCTTGTTGTGTTTTATATCTTGTTCTCTCCAGGCTTCGTGGACTCGACCAGAGAAGCAAGAGGTATAGCTTACCTGACCACTAGCCAGTTCTTAGTTTTGAAAACATTGCGGTTTAACTCACCGTTATAGTTAACAACCAGACATGCTAAACTAATTAGTAGCTTAGATTAAAGAATAGGTCAGTAGTGGTAGCTGTTACTTAGCAATAGTGTCATTTTAGGGTGAGCAAGCAAGCTGTGTTGGAAGTGGGTGAACAAATCCTTATTGTTTTCTAAAGACTGGGTCTTGTTCTCTTGATGGTGCTGGGAAAATCACAGCCAGGTAATTACACTTAAATCTCCCCATTCCCAGGCCCATTGTTGTGACATGGTGAAATTTTTTTACTCTCACTTGGTTGATGTGGCTTCGGATCATAAAGGCACGGGTTCAGTGATCTAAAACCCACTTGGCCCTTTCCCTTCCAGCTCAACTCATCTTGTTGCTCGCTTATCTTATAATGATTGGTCTTGGTAAATGATGACTTCACATCTCATCTTGAAGCAATGCAAATGACATGTCTCATTGGTTCTCCCACACTGTTAAACGTGTCTATGCTACTTTCACAGTGTTAAATTGATGAGCTTAGAATGATTCGGCACAAATGGCTTTATGGGTTTTTTTAAAAGTCGGTAGCCATTAGCCTTTGAAATTTCTGATTCCTTGCTTCATTTGGGGTAATTTGGGACTTAGTTTGAAAATTGAAGCTAAATATTCATCTTTTGATTTTAGTTGTTACACCCCCAAGATCCTCCTCATAGGTCATGAATAATACTTTTTACCTGATTTGTGCAACTGAGTGACAGATAGTGAAATAAAAACCAGTATACTTCAGATGAGATTCAAGGACCTAATCTATGAATATTTTTTGGAAAAAAGAAAAAAAAGAAGAAAAAAAAAAAAAAAAGCTTTTCTCTCTTCTCCAGGTGAAACTTTGGTATTGTGATGCTATAAACGTAGAATCTAGCAAGCAATCGCATAGGCGGTGTTATCTCTCCTCTTAGTCTTTTCAGAAATAATAATTATTCAGAACACATAACTCATGTGTTTGGGTCACGGCTATAAATATGTAATGCTGTTCAATATTTGAAGTGGACTGCCTGTCCCCAGGCGCTGATGTTAGTTTCTATACATGAGCTCACTGCCATCATCAGCTCCAGTTCATTATTAGCTCTCTTTGCCTCAGACCTTCTCATGTCAGAGGGACTGCAGCTCAGTGCACATCTCACTGAAATGCTCCTTCCTGGGGCACAGGAATCGCTCGGTGCTGTCACGGGCTGGGTGTTTTATTGCTTCAAAGTCCGGGACTGGGAAGGGAGAGGAGGGTCAATTATTAGCTACTTCTGAGCAGCTACAAACCTCATTCTGCCTGGACATGTACACCTTCCCTGTCATTTTGATCTAGGCCTGGAGGAGCTGAGGTTTATCGGGGAGCATTAAGAAGATGTTAAGTGAATTATTATCATAAGCGGAAGTAATGGGTTTATTGTCAGCAAGGCAAATACCTCATCTGGTTTTCCAGAAGTGTCCTTATCTTCAATATCTCAATCTGGACATCATTGACTTTCAAATGAGTGCCACCTTGGGGCTCAGAAGTTCCGTTCCTGCCTATTTGTCTCACTCAGAGATGAAGACCATAAGTCCAGAAGGCAGCTTGGGTTCTGGCCAGTTTCATTCTGTAAGCTCTGAAAAGCCTTCACACTTTCACCTGGAAGAAGAAAGACAAAAATGTCCAGATGAGAGGATTAATTATAACTGCCCTTCATACTCTTGCCAAACAGGGTCTTCTTGCCATAATGATCTTCTCCTTCTTGCCCAGAGTTCATCTGCTTTCTCCTTCGGAGCCTGAATTATCAGTGCGACGATTGGTCTGCATGGCTGTAGGTGGCTCTCCCGGACTTTGTCCTGGTGCCAAAGTAAACATTTCAAAGGGCCCAGTCACACTAACTGTGTCCCCCGGAGAGAAAACTGGGCACCTGAAAATAATTCCATCATCAATCCTGTTCCTGAGCCGCTGCAAAATTTTACGGAGGGCCATCTACTGGTCCGTTGACATCATTAAATTAGAAAGATTTCCAGATAGTGAGATTGAGGAAAGAGGCCAACTAGAAGGGGAGAAAAAAGTGCAGCTGTCAGTATAACCATTTCATGAAATGGTTGTGAAATGTGATGGGGCTTAAGTGGCTGAGCTGGACTAAAGCTATCTCTGATGGAACAAGGACGTCTTTGACAGATCTGCTGAGGCAGCTCACAGGCCCGGCTGCCTTGCTTTTGACTGCCCCAACTGGCTGCTGTGTGACATGCAATCCTGGGTTTGGGCTTCTAAGCCAGAACATGGAAAGAATCTGAAGTCAGGTGTTGTTATATTCTTTAAAGGCCCAAACCTGTTGGTTAACAGATACCATACAAATGCAGACGACTCACCCATCCATCTCTACAGAATACCACATGCTAGAGATAAGAGTGTAACCCAGCCTCTGAACAGGAAGACTCCTTTAGATTACCCACCTCTGGAGTATCTGAACTTGGGCAAATGCCCAGACTTTTCCTAGACCAGGAACCATTCACCTAGAGTGTCAAAGAGGGGAAACACAGGGAGATATTCCAGGACCCATTGCCTGGGGATCATATGCTTATTTCCTTTTTGACCAGTAATTCTGAAGTCTCAGAAAGCTGATTATAGTATCAACGGTGACTGTGGGGTTAAGGACCCCAGATCTTCCTGGGACTCTTTGTACCACTGTCCCTGGAGAGAGGAACCAGTTACCCTTCATTCCAGCTCAACAGCTCCTGACTTCTGAGTTGTTGGGCTTTTTAAAAAAGATAAAATAATTTTAATTTTAAGCATCCAGGAAAGTGAGGCCTCTGCATAAATATGGGTTTCTTATATAACCTTTTGTATTTTGGCACACTCGGATTTCCCATCCAGTGAGCATGCATGCACTGTGGCACTGGCAGATGGGTGGACTGCTGGGAGGAAAAGAGGGGAATACAGGTTTCCCAGAATCCCATGAGGCAAGGTGGTTTCTGCTCGGGGCTTTGCTTCCATTTGAGATGTGCCAGACAAAATTGTCTTGAGGGACCTTGAGCCACACCAGTCTTGGCACACAGCTAGGCTGCTTGACATAAACTGAGTCCATTTTTGTTTGGGGTACACCCACGTTCCCGTGGTGCTCTCTGCAGCCTCCCCCTCTAGCTGGAACCTAAAGTGAGACTCAGACACTGGCAGAGAGAGGTGAGGGTATGAGACTGGTCACACAAGTGATGGCCTGATCTCCTAGTCCCCCATCCTGCCCTGGACTCTGACACTCTCTGTTCCCTCCCAGCAGACTCTGGATGGGCACATGGTGGTGCGCAGCCACGCCCGTGTGTCCTCCCTGACCCTGAAGAGCATCCAGTACACAGACGCTGGAGAGTACATCTGCACCGCCAGCAACACTATCGGCCAGGACTCCCAGTCCATGTACCTCGAAGTACAATGTGAGGAATCACTGTGGAAAGACCTGGGAGGGAAGGCCATGGAGGGTTGGGATGGACGGGGAAAAGAGCAGCCAGGACCCAATCTGCACCGGGCAAGCTCCCCTCCCTTTCCCTGAGTCCCCCGGTCACCTCCTCACACCATCCCCAGCCTCTTTACCCACTGCATGCCCTCTTGTCTTCCCGTCAGCTCACAGAATTGCCAGAACAGCCCGATCTCTACTGTACCCTGGCATAGCTTGGCTTCAGGGCACACCCCCCTCCGGTGGCAAGAGACAGCATCTGTAGGGCTTCAGGACAGTGGCAGGCTTCCTGACCGTCTTTGCCACTCATTGCAGATGCCCCCAAGCTGCAGGGCCCCGTGGCTGTGTACACCTGGGAGGGGAACCAGGTGAACATCACCTGCGAGGTGTTTGCCTACCCCAGTGCCACAATCTCATGGTTCCGAGATGGTCAGCTGCTGCCAAGCTCCAACTACAGCAACATCAAGATTTACAACGGCCCCTCTGCCAGCTACCTGGAGGTGAGCGGGGCAGGGCCAGCGGCAGGGTGGAAAAGGCAGTTTGGCTATAGATGGGCTCCCGAATGCAGCTAAAACCCTTCTTGCTTCTCTAGCCTGTCCTGAGCTGGGAGCGGTTAGCTGGAGAAGAACTTGAGCTTCGGCCCAGCCCCTGTGTCTCCTGGGCAACACCAGGGCCTGGAAGGCAGAGTGTCTTCTCCCATGGCCCCTGCTGTTCTCCTCTCTGGCAATAGCTTGGGTGGAGCCAATGATTCCTGCTTTACTACTTCTACTATTTGCTAATTTAATCCAATAAATAAGGGCCTGAGGCTGTGATCATCCCATGGGCATGAAAACCTAGAACCCCTTCTTTTTTTCAAGGTGACTCCGGACTCTGAAAATGATTTTGGAAACTACAACTGCACCGCAGTGAACCGCATTGGACAGGAGTCTCTGGAATTCATCCTTGTCCAAGCAGGTGAGCACCCCTTACCGCTGAACCACCCTTTGAAAACCCTTCCTGGCCTATTTTGTGTCCTTTAGTGATGCTGGGAGAGTGAGAAGAGAGGCCCCAGGTCAGCAAAGCCTGAGGAGGAAGCAGGGAGCAATGGAGGCTTGAGGATCTGGGCATGGAGTATGTGGGGAGATAATCAATCGTATGGGGGTGGGGGAGTTGGGCGCTGGGAGAATAGGATACAAGCAACAAGATTTCAAGACTGAACAGAAATGGCAGAGACATGATTGCGAGTTGTGTCCTATCTGAGGCTCACTTGGGCCTTCATATGTATTCTCCCACAGACACCCCATCTTCACCATCCATCGACCAGGTGGAGCCATACTCTAGCACAGCACAGGTGCAGTTTGATGAGCCAGAGGCCACAGGTGGGGTGCCCATCCTCAAATACAAGGCTGAGTGGAAAGCAGTGGGTGAGGAAATGTGGCACTCCAAGTGGTACGATGCCAAGGAAGGTGAGTCTGGAAAAGTCTTTGTTTTCTTCAGAATGAGGAGTCCCTTGGTGCTGGGCACACATTCACCGGGCATTCACCAGATCCAGGCACCCTGACTGCCTGCCCATAGGTAGGGTAGCATACCACTCTCACCTACTGAGGCTGGCCAGGTGCCGTCACCTGCCATCTGTTCATGTTCCTATGCTGCAACATCGAATTAGGGCACACCCGGTCACGTCTCACGTAGTCTTGTTGGCCTCTGTACCCTGGCACTTCAGAGCCTGGTTCCCGTGACCCTGCAGGATGGAGGGGCCATCTCAACCACCTGCCACGCAGAAGCCCTGCTTCGGTGTGACAACCTGGCGAGGCCCTGCTCCGCATGTCTTTATGTTTTATTGTAGTAAAATATATACAACATAAATATACCATTTTAACCCGTTTTAAGTGTACAGTTCAGTGGGATTAAGTCCAGTCTCATTGTTGTGCAAGCATCACCAGGGTCCATCTCCAGAACTTCATCATCCCAAATTCTGTACCTATGAGACACTAAGTCCCCTCCCCTTCTGCCCAGCTCCTGGCAGCCACCACTCCCCTTTCTGTCTCTCTGTAGTTGACTCTCCTAGGTACTTCCTGTAAGTGGAATCATACTGTATTTACCCTTTTGTGTCTGGCTCATTTCATGTAGCATAATGTCCTTGAGGTTCACTTAAGTAGTACGTGTCTGAATTTCACTCCTTTTTAAAGCTGAATAGTGTTCCATTGTACGTGTGCACTGCATCTTGTTTTTCCATTCATGTGTCCGGGAACACCTGGGTGCCTCCGCCTTATGGCTACTGTGAGCGTGGGTGTGCAGATATCTGTCCAGGTCTCTGCTTCAATCCTTCTGTGTGTAGACCTAGAAGTAGAATTGCTGGATCCAATGATAATTCTGTGTTTAATTGTTGGACGACCCACCACAGTGTTTTCCACAACAGCCGCACCAGTTCACCGGTAGGCTTTCTATCATTTGTGATCCTTCCCATGTTCTCACAACAGCCAGCATGGAGGGCATCGTCACCATCATGGGCCTGAAGCCTGAGACCACGTATACGGTGCGACTGGCAGCCCTCAACGGCAAGGGTCTGGGTGAGATCAGCGCAGTCTCCGAGTTCAAGACGCAGCCAGTCCGTAAGTAGAGCCGGCTGCCCTGCCTCCCCCCAACCCCCACCCTCTTCTCCTGGGGCCGTGGGGGACCCTGAGCTGGCCGTCCATTATCCAGATGATAGCCTTTTGTCTTCCAGATGCCTCTGTGGCCCTCAGTGATGACTGACACCCAGTCCCTTTATCCTCTTTCTCGGGGTCTTGGTGACACTGTCATAGGCTGACAGCTGGGGTTGTTAGAGGGCATGTGCAGTGGGGGGCTGGGGATTTGCTTTTTGACACAGTTCACAAAGGCCCTCAGCACCTGTGACTTGAAGGGCAAGGGTAACGACAGTGACAGTTCCATAATGAGCTGTGGGACCATCGATGCAGCAGAGATATTAATGGAGAACAAAGCAGGGGTGCTGTGGGACAGAGGAGGGAGAAGCAGAGGCATAATCCAAGCAAAGCAAAGGGAGAAGGATGCAGAGGCCTTTGACTTTCGGCTTCCCCTCCCTTCCCACACCAGGAGCGCCCCTCAGGGTCTCCCTCCCAAACTTCCTGGTTCCATTCAGGGATGCATTTCTGTTTCTCTCCATCATCCCACTTTCCCTCACTCTGCTTGCTCTCCTTTCCCTAGTCCCCCAGGACAGCAGCTCTGGGGCAAGCCCTGCTCTAGGTAGCCCTGCCCAGGCCCACCCTGGGAGGAGCAGGAGACCCCGCCAGAGAAGGTGCCAGAGAACAGACTCCACAGGTGGTCCCAGAGCCCCAGGGCTACTGACTCCAGGAATTATATGGGATCCTTGCTTCCTTCTCTTTGAAGCTGGAGACCTGGAAAGAGATCCCCTGACTCTTTCCAGAAGTAGAAAGCCAGTCTTATCTCCCCCACAGGAATTGCTTCTTTTTGGATGTAAAGTAATTTGATCATTTGAGTTTCCAGTGCCCTGTGTTCTGCGGAATCTAGTCATTTCTTTTACATCTTTTCCCCCCTTGGGTCTGTCTCTTGTCTTTTCTTTCCATCTGTGTTCCATCCATGGGAAATGCAGATACCCCTGTTACACATAAGTGCCTCTTCATACCTCGTTACTTGTTCCCATAGCTTTAGCATCTCTGTCCCAGTTCTTAATTTAGTTCCAGTCCCTTCTGTCTCCTAGAAGCTGAAGTAGATGCTGCTGTCGGGCCTACTCACACTGACCTAGCCTAGCTGTGCACCGGTTAATGTCCATAAGTTACTCCTGGAAGCTAAGCCTCCTTCCTGTTTTAGAGCATGAAACTTCCGTGTGTGTTGAAGTTGTGTTTCTGTATTAATTTCTGTGTGTGACACGCTGTGACAGCAGTGATGTTTGCCAAGCCAAGCGTAGTGGGCTTCTGCAGGTGGTCTCTCAATGACACACTAGAGCCCCGCCTCACCTTTAGCCAGGTTGCCAGAAAAGTGACCGCATCACCACCAGGCCTCATTCAAAATCCCTTCACAGGAAACAGAATTTGAAAGGATTTCCACATTTGCTTTTAGAAGATAGGAGAACTGAGCTCCTCATTCTGTCTGTCAGGGAGGCAGCTGGAGGGCACCAGGAGGACTGGTGGGGCGGCAGCTGCAGTTGTAAAGCATAGCCTGAGGTTGGATTCCAAGCCCTGCCTGGGATGTCCTGCAGGCGGAGGTGGCTGCAGGGAGTGGGACCCCAGCTCAGTCAACCCTGTTGTGTAGCAGGAGGTACTTGTCAACTGCCATTTCTATGTCTGGGAAAAATAACCAGCTACTTAGTAACTCTATAGCCAAGCATGTAGACACGGTGATTCTCCCTGGGAAGGACCCCTAATTGTGTAAGCTGTTACTGCAAATACAGGGAGCAAGGGTGGCAGGAAGCTGACCTTCCCCCATCCCCCCTTCCCACCCCCGTTCTGGGAGCAGAGCTGTGATTCGATCTCCCAGCCTGCACGGATGCCCGCGCCTCAGTCCCTGCGGCCCCTTCTTTCTAGGCTGCACTTGGAATAGTGGGGGAGTATAACCCAGAGAGACTTGGAAGAAAGGTATTCAGAAAGCTGAATACTCTTTTCATAAAAAGCTCCTAGTTCCTGAAAGACACTCGGGGAAGCTTATCTTTTAAAAATGAATTCAGAAATATTGCAGCAACAGCAGAAATGAAGTAGTTCGGTGTAGGCATTCTGAGATCTTCAGCAAGTGTTAAATTGACTATCTCAGCAGACGTGGCTCTTGAATGAACCAGTTCTGGCAGGAGACAGAAAGGGGTGGAACTGTGAGGTGGGACTGACAGCTGTCTGCTCTGGGCTGGCAGCTGCTTGCAGAAGACAGGCACCACTCTGGGTATGACACCATCCGGGTCCTGACACTGACCTTAGCCTGAGTCTTCGGTTCCAGCTCTTCTAGATATTATCAGTACTCCATGTGGGTTACAGTACTTCGTGTGGGTTGTCAGTACTCCGTGTGGGTTATCAGTACTCCCTGTGGGCTTAGTTACCTTAATGAGAGGAAGGCTGTGGAAAGGCCCCTTTGAGTTTCTCACCAGTAACTGGGCTCTGAGAACTGAATTGGAGTCACTGGCCTTGAACTTCAAAGTCTATAAGTGGTTTTCATTCATGGCCAGCTCTGTCCTTATAAAGGTAAGAATTCCCAGAGCAGATGCTGCTTTGAAAGTCAGTGTTCAGTTTTTTTTTAATTGGTTAGAGTTACTAACCTTCAGACCTTGTTGTTTGTTGTCTGATGAAAATGGGTAAATAACAAAGATCCCAGGAGGCCCAGTAGGAAATGATGGGGTCAGCTCTCCATTCCAAATATGTCATGAGTGATGCAGTAGCAGGCATTGCTAGTGGCAGGGACAGTCAGTGTTCTCAATCATTTAATAAAATTATAGTTTAAAAAAACTAAAAGGCAAAATTCTTTTAGACAAGAAGAACTACACACAGCCCCAGAGTTAGGTGCTGGGTGCACCCTCACCCCAAAGGAGAGAAGGTACAGGATCACAGAGCTAGCACACTGGACAGAGAGCCATCGTTGCCAGCTCTGGGTGGGAGAGCTAGGCGAGGGCCCGTGCATTGCACATTAGCTCATCGCTTGAAGCTCGTTGAGATGTCTCAATATTGGGGTTGCTTTCTCGGTTCCATAATAGACTTCTTCACATTCATAGGCATGACTATGTCAAATCGTAGAACTAGCCAGAAAGCACAAATACCTCAAGGACTCCTGCTTCTGAGCTGCCAGATCAGAAAGCATGGCTCACCTGTTTGGAGGTTTTTGGGTGCAGTTTGTAAATGTGTGTGTAAAGGTCATGAGGAAGCTATGGCTTTAAACAAACAGGTAGAACTCCAACCGAGGAAAGTACCTCTGTCACATGTATTTTTAGGACCAATGTCTTCATGCTGTTAAGACACTGTCAGGTGGAAAGCTGACAACCTCTGATTGCTTCGGGGGTGAGGGGAGTGGGCACTTCCCTATGAGAGCAGCTGAGGCCCTAAAGAGATGATGTCACAATTTATTATGAATCTATTCCTCATGATTGAGCCTCACCTTCAGAATTTCATTGTCTGAATATTACCTCTTAATTGCTTCTTTACCATGAAGCAAAGTAAATGACTTCTTCCAGAGCATAAAGATTATAAATGAATGAGTCTCTCCTTTTTAAGAGGCATCTTGAGATTTTTGTTTTCACACTTAGCCCCCAGAAGACACATTGCAAGTGCAAGTTAAATGCATTGTGATATACTGTGATTAAAACACATACAGCTCTATCCCTTTGCCAAAATAATATGGACAATGATGCAAACCACTCGAGCCAAAAAATAAAAATAAAAGAGAAAGAGAAACATGCACTTTTACCTGAATTAACCAGATCATCAAATCATGATGAGGTAGTAACCTACCTTGCTCTGACCCCAGTGACATTGTACTTTCATGGTTTAATGAGGTCCCCTCACCTGGGAGGTGAAAGGAAGACCAAGGTAATGTTGAGGACACAGTGACGTTTTTCCAAATTTTCATCCAGCTCTCTGAGCGACTTTGTTTTGTGATTTGGGTGGGGAGATTTGCCAGGGAAAACTGAAGAGCTGTCCAAATGTTTTTTGGGTGCATCTACCCGTTTTCCGTGCTAACATTGGTTAGTGTTGCTTCTTTATCGAGAATAACAGTACGATTTTCATTGCTCTCCATACACAAGGCAGCATCCAGAAAATCACATTCTGTAGGGATTTTTTTTGGAGGGCAGCAGAGGTTTTTCCCATCCAGATGCCAAACAATCATGAACCTCGCTCGGTAGTAAACACTAATAAGTAGGACCATCATTTGTGCTTTATTCAAACATTGAAATTAGGGAGAGACATAGAGGTTTTGCTACAAATATGTGTCAGTAGAAATGTATGTCTGTACTAGTACACAAACACACATAGAGATGCCTAAAATAAAAAGCCAGTCTTCTCTTTCCTCTACTCCTCTCTCTCCACTTCTCTGGGGACAGCTGCCCTGCTGAGTTGGCTGTTAGTTTTCAGCAGGGTCAAAGCCTCTGCAGCTGTTCCTGGCCCAGCCCCTCACCCGAGCTGCAGGCAAGGCAGGCACACAGGTTTGTGGCTTGAAGTCAGAGAGCCTGCTCTCTGCTGGTCCTCTGGCCACCTGTTCTCAAGCACCTTGTTCTTCTTGCCCATTTTAACTCACTGCAGCTTCTTGTTCTGACATCCCGGGTTGGCTCTCCTGTTTTTTTTCATGCAGTATCTGTGTGCCTTGATGATCTTTTATCTCTTTTTTGTTTTCACCTTCATTTTTCTTTTCTCAGCGGCTCCTGCTAGCTCTTCCACTCCCGTCCCATTGTCTCACCCAGAGAGTGAGTATCATTTTCTTCATCCATCTCTCTGCAGGTTGCTTCCCACCAGCCACAGTGGGTCCGCCCGGTGTTATCACCTTCACCAGGTGATAACTCAACTCTGTTGGCAGAAAGCAGTGCCGGGTTGTAGAGAAGCAAATGAGAAGAGAAATAGGCACAGGGCCTCTCTGATTCCTGGTTGTAGACAGCACTCCCCTAGGGGAGGCAAAGGAAGGGGGAGGT